AGGTTTATTCACACAGCTGCCAAAGGCAGCTGTGTGAATAACCGACCCGAAGTGAAGTGAGCCGAACGCTGTTCGGCTATTTACTTCAGGCTTGTACAGCTAATTTCAGCCTTACATCGGCTTGCTTCGGGTCGGCTGAAAATACTCCAGGTCAGCATGTTCGGCTGACCCGAAGTGCAGAAGGAGTTTTACTCAGCCGATCCAGCATCTGAATCGGCTGAGCCGAACCTCCGACAGGCTACTCGCTGCCGCTCGGCCTATTCTCATAGGGGCCAAACAGCAGTGAGTGACTAGCCGAAAGCTGCCGAGCAGCATTCGGCTCAGCTATTCTGCTCGGTACCTCCATGGTACCAAGTAGAATAGAAAAAGTGAAAAAAGTAGAAAACGATTGTGTGGAGCTAGCAGTGACAGCTATCTCCGTCCAACTGTTTTCTATTGGCCGGGACCTGCCAGAGCAGGTTCCTGTCAATGAATAACAACTGGGCGGGAGCCGGCCGTGATGTAACCGCCGGCTTTGCCAAGTTATCAGTGGGTAATGACAGATCGGCGTCCCCTGGTTACCGGGTACCCAGGGGACGCCGATCTGTCATTACCCACTGAGAACTCGATGGAGCTGCCGTGATATCATGGCCAGCTCAGCCGAGTTCTCAGTGTGTAATGACAGATCACCGTCCCCTGGTTACCAGATAACCAGGGGATGCTGATCTGTCATTACAATGAGAACTCGGCGGAGCCGGCCGTGATATCAACGCCGGCTCCGCTGAGCTCTCACTGTAATGACAGTTCAGCATCCCCTGGTTACCTGGTAACCAGAGGACGCTGATCGGTCATTGTAAGTGGTCGGAGCCAGCCATGAGATGAACCGAAGGGCTCAGGCTACGGCTGATCCTTTGGCTAGCTTTGTGAATAACCCCCTAAAGACCCCTTATAAGGCTCCCGTCCAGCCATTCAGGAACAGCCATGGACGGGTGGTGGTTAAATCCAAGCCTTAGTCATAGCTGAGTACAGGTAAATATACTCCTTTCTAAATACCCACCCCGCCACAAAGGGACAGGAGTATTCAAAGATAAGGACTAAGAATCCAGTAAATAAGAGGAACAAACATTATAAAATTAAAAAGAATAATTAAAACCTTAATACACACATTGAAAATACTATACACAAGATCATTAAGCAACTATTGTATCTCTTTTACAAATTCCACTAACTCCAAATAGCAGACAGCAATTTTGTACTAGAACAAATAAATACTATAAAACACTATGGTGGTGATTAGTATTGGGCATTTAGGACACATTTCTAGTGGTGTGTTTGTGTTAGAAAGCCTTGTGCCCATGTCATAAAAACCCTTTAAAATTTTCTGAACTGAAACGGAACCTATTTGATACATTTCCATTACTCTCCTAACTTCTCCGAATAGCTTCTCTCCCTGTATAACTCTGCTACTTCGCAAGAGAGATGCTTACATTAGTTCTTTTACAATTACAACAGATTCATATACACTTTACTGACATGTACTTGAATCTATTGCAAGTTTTGACATTGGTTGCACTACAGTGAGACACATTATCTTCAACACTCTTTATGAATTCCATTGTATATGTGTCAATATCCCATCTTTGGTTGAAACCAAAAAGTGTCAGAGTTTTAAGTTTGATAGCCACATAGCCTTGAGGCAAAGCAGGAAGCACCACAAGCCTTCTTCCAACACAACCAGCTATCCTTCATAAAAAAACCTAACTGCCAGCAATTTTTCACAAATGAACAAAAAGTTGAATTCATACTTACAGGGTTGTCGAACCCTGTGTGAGACATGATAAAAGCCATTCACTATGCAGTGGATATCTTTTATGTTTCTAGTGATATTGTGGACCCTCTGTAAGCTATTTTCCTTATTGCAACTATAAGCGCTGAAAACACACACATATACATTTCCTTCCTAAGGAGAAAATACAGCATGTCAGGTAATGGTGACTGTTTTATTTAATGCTGAAATTAAATTCTGTTTCACACATTGTTTCCATTACAGTAGTTTGTCTATTTACAGTATATATTTTGTTTTTACTACATGCTAATCACTTCATTTGCATGTTATTTTAAGTATTTTTATTTTTACCATATTGATTTTAGTTCTGTAAACTTTGTTCTTGCTGTTTTAGTATTAGTGTCCTCTAAGTTTCAAATAGTAAATTTCTGTTGTCATTGCACCACTAAGCACAATAACTGATGTATATATTCTTATTGTATTTATCTTTTCTGTTCTTTTTGGTTGAAATTGGACATTTCTGTTCTGCATTGGCAATGCTTTCATGCATGCTTCTTGGGGCTGGGCCTGCTATTCATTATCCATTGCATGTAAGAATTTGCCTTCTTTTGCATTTTGATTATTTTTTGCATTATTTATTATGTGTTACTTTGTTCATTTATGTTCACATTTACATACATGGTACAGAAGAGAATCCGAAATCTGAGACTAGTAATGTTTTTAAGTCTTTCTTTCTTACCTTATCAGAAAGTGTATATACACTAGAATGATGTTAGATTAGTCAGTAATACTACAAACAATTCAGCCACCTAATACAGAAAATAGGGAGAGTAATTGTACAAAATCGCCTGCAAGCATATTTGGTCTGGAACAGCCAGGTGTATTGACAATATGCTGACCATGGGCACCTTCAACATGACTTGTAACATTTTAGATGCTCCTAGCAGTCAGCAGATTGTCAGTAAATGTACAGACACCTTTGTTCATTATAGCAATGTCTTTATTCTTAAGATGTACATATGAAAGTGCTAAATGAAGGTGAGCTGCTATGGGAGTAAGTGCATCTGCCACTGTTTATGAGTACAAGCACATACTCCTGTTTAGTTAGAAACTGGGCACATGTATACTACAGAAAGCAGCCTTCAGACATGGTCCCCGACTAGCTGTGGTCTTGAAAATGTTGTAAGTTTCTTTCCACAAATTTAGCTATGTGTAGGTCAGTCAATGAGCAACTGTACAATTCTAATGTCCCTAGGTTTACTAACTCTAAACATTGAATATGCTGAAAAGTATCTCTGCATATCTCCACTAAATTTTACTAAAATATGTATTTTATAAACCGCGGGCACCAATAATTTCTTTATGAATCTTCAATGAGTAAACTTTGAACAAGTCCTTGTGAAAAATCACACAGCTACCAATTGTTTTATGGTGTTCCTGGCTTTTCAGGTACATAAGAAACAGCCACCATTGTTTTATAAATGAATGTATTTCCATAGATAAAGGAAAAATTAGTACAGCAAAAATTAGATGTATGAAATCAGTATATTGTTTTCAGTTAATCACCCAATATATTTAAGCTGACACTTACTATATAGTTGGTGCCATTTCTGCATGACACTTTATTAATGGTCTGATGATGTCTATATGCAAGTCTTATGTGTCTTGCCTAGAACTGCTCACTTAGACCCTGAGAGCATAACTTGAAGGCATAGTTACTCAAGTCAGGATGGATATGTTACTGATTGTTATCTCATAAAGCAATATTCCTTTAAGAGAACTATGTTTTAATCAGTAAAAATTAACATATGCATGTACCTTATACTCTATACTTCTTGTAGTGAGTTTGCACTGAGTGAACAATTTTTTACAATACAATGCAAAACGTTTTATGTTTATTGTCTGCAAATCAGCTTTGGTTTTGCAGAGTATTGTTAGCATTGACTTCATGGATATTCTTGAGCCTGGCAAATGCCTTTACAGGTATCTGTAGAGTTTTATGGAACCATGATGGTTGTTTAGAGATATTTAAGTATTATTAGAAATCCCTTAAAGTGTTTAATTTTTTTCAGATTTTACATATATATAGTATTCCCTCATATAATTTGCTGCGGCTGGTGACTGGTAACCTAACAGAATGATGATTTGTTGTATACCCCTATCAGTAGAACTAAATGATCACATCATGCTGCTGCAGAGCCCTTGAATTTCGTAACTTTTTCCCACTACAGATTCTTGTGACACCTTATAAGACACTAAAATAGATCAAGAGTCTAATATAACCAGAGAAATTGTAGAAATGTCACCAGCACCAGCAATTTTACCAGCAATGCTAAAGCCTGATGAAGGGACCCTGTGCGGTCCCGAAAGCGCTTGTTGGTCATATGACAAAAAAAATAAATTAAGCTTTTGCTATTCTAAAAGGACTAGTGTGCTGGTGACATTTCTAAAATTTTGATGACATTTTGCCATCCGCAGTCACTGCGAGCACCCCCACTACAAGGGACATATCGATAAGGAGTGCAACAAGGATAGTACTTATAATATAACCAGACATTTAACACAACATCAACATTAAACATAGTGATGGTGATGTGATAAATGTTTGTATGCTAGGATAAGAGGAATATGAATATGGAACTGGTAAAAGAAAATTATAGTAGTGTGTGAAGTATATAGTCTCATGAATAAGGTGAAAGTATAGTACAGGAGATGAGAATAATGCAAGAGATCGGAGGATCATGAAGGCTGAAAACCAGAAGATACTGTATGAAGAACTAGTTGTTTTCAAAGAATAGTATAGGAAGGAAAAATGTGGTATAAAGGCTGGTAAGAATAAATTGATGGGTAGTAGTAAAATTAGACCAGGGATGTAAATGGTGTTAAGTTGATGAGTTGTAGAAAGCATGTATGATGGAAGTTGACAGAAAATGTGACTGAAAACTCCAGCTAGGTAAAGAAGACAAACAGGCATTGGATAATGAGTTTATGTGATGTAGAAAGTGGGTAACATTTAAACAACAGCTGACAGACCACAATACTCCCAGGTAATGGATTATATAGAATACACACTTATAGATAAATAAATTGTTAATAGCATACCTTATCAGCTGTATGGTTTCATTGAACATAGTAGCACACTCATTGAATTTAGCTTCTAAAAGTAGCCTAATACAGTAGTGTAGGTTAATAAACTGATGATAAATATTGATGTTAAATGGTTATTGTTTCATAGCGCAACAAATCCAAAGCGGTAAGTTTGTTTTAGGTAATTTAGTTAGTAATCCGTAGTTGATCTTACTGCAAATGTGTTATTTTATCAATTGTTTTGTTTGCTACAGAATCCAAAATCACAGGAACCAGTTACACTTGATTTCTTGGATGCAGAGTTGGAAAATGAACACAAAGTGGAGGTAGAGCCATTTTTTCCTCAACATGTCATCCCAAAGGTTTTCTACTGTTCAACACTCCAAAATATTTTTTTTCTCTCTATATTAAAGTGGAAATTATTTTCTACATAGGTTAAAAACATGCAAATAGTTATACTCTCTTTTGTGCTTTATTGTGGCGCCTGGGTTTGCTTTATTTTCCTATTGATGTGATAGCGTTTTTACATGAATTTTACATTATGACATTTGCTATCAGTTCGTTGTTTCTCTATTTTCATAGCATACTCTTTAACATGGATTCTTCCCCAGATTCGTACAAAAATGATAGATGGAGAGATTGGAGAACGCACCTTTCAAACACTAGTTAAATCCCAAGACGAGGTAAGATTTGATAAATTTAGTAGAAATAAGATATTGTAGAGTTCATAGTATCATAGTTTATTTCCAGTTAATTCTGAAATTAAATACCTTTAAAATTATGATGGAGACTTGTGATGTTCCATACTGGTGTGCAGTATCACAACAGTTTCACTAGTCATGATCTAATTCGTCTCCAGGTTCTACAGTGAAACAGTTTTATTAGCAGCCTATGGATTTATCTGTAAATAATTCCATATCTGAAAAAAACCTTCATTGTAATGACCTCCAATCTCCTATGGTCCTGTTTAGAGTCCCAGGTATACAAAAATTATAATCTCCAAAATTATTTCCTTTTAAGGACTCTACAAACACTAAACCACACTGTATATATTGTGGGGAACCCCAGGGGTACACATGCGTCTTCAACACAGTCCGATATAAATAAGCAGCTTTTATTTCATCCAGCGTTAACAGAACAGCTTTCTTCAGCAAAACGGTAAAGTAAAAGGCTTTCCTCAGCAAACATCAAACATAACGAAAAAGTATTTCAATAAAATTGCACTGTGTAGTGCGTTTAGGTGATCTCACCAAGATAGAGTTCACTTGCTTCTGAGCAGCTCCACACACAGAGCTTTCTGTCTGACTCTCAGCTTCCCCACTCCTCTCTCACCTGTGTTGCCTTTTAACAGGAAGGGCTGTAGGGGAAGTACCTGCCCTCCCAAGTTAACCCCTTCTTTGCTCTCAGCCCTGCTGACTCTCCACAATAGATATGACCACCATACAACATCAATTCAAAAGATTTTTGAAAAGTATCTTACTAGAAGCACACACTTCATATTATTAAAATATCACCTTGATGTAACTCGCCACAATGTAAGTGTTCTTTGATATATCTTTCTGCTGTGTTCTACTGTTTACAATGTATGTTTGTAAGAGGAATCCAGAGGCTGATAATCTCTATTTCTCAAAGTTCATCTTACACATGCATCCCACACAGTCTGCAGAGCTCCAATCAAGGAAGAACGGTGAGCATTGCATTAGTGTTTGGGCCTTTCATAATCTCTCCATAAATGTCCAGCAACCAGGCAGTGTCATCATCTTGGGATATCCGTCCAAATATGTCCATTTTCAAAGACATCAGTCACAGAAAGAGCTTGTCCAAAATCATTTCAGATGCAACAGTAATATCCATAGCAAACCCGCCATCAAAGTCTATCCAAATGGATAAAAGTGTCAACATATAGTCAAATATAGACCTGTATTGAGAATTGCACAGTTCCTTTGTAATAAAGTGTAAACCAGGAGCTGAGCAAAAACATGCAATACAATAAACAAATTAGTCCCAAAGGTAAGGGTATACTTAATGGATGCTCTCCAAAAATCCAATCACTGCTGTGAGACAGGATCCCTCTGTAGAAAGTAACAGAGTGTGGGATAACTTGAAATCTGACTGGTTTCGCCAGTGACAGCCAGCTCCATCAGAGGAATAGCCCAGGGCTATTATTGTCACTGCTATTCTTTTACTCTTTACAGAGGGATCCTGTCTAAGGCTGGGCACACACCTTACAACCATCGCAAGACTTCTGTCTTGCAATGGTTGTAAGGTACTTAAAAAAACGTACGATCTGCCTATGTTGCATAGGCAGATCGTACTTGCGATGATCGCAAGCCACGCCCCCTGAGAGGCGGGCTTCCGATGACCGCAATGCCGAACGGGCAGTGTGCGCTTGCGCACACCGGCCCGTGCGGCTGTTATCGTACGGACATGCCACAAACCCGCCGAACATCGTACGATGCTCGGCGGGTTTTCGAACATGTCCGTAAGTTTAAAGTCGTGCGACCTTACAGTAGTAGAGGTCGCACGGCTTCCACACACCTTACGATCATCGTACGATCGCGGGATTTCCCGCGATTATCGTACGATAATCGTAAGGTGTGTGGGGACTCTAAGAGGCATGTCTAAGATGACCTTATAGGACACAACAGAACACTTGTAGAATTGTAGGGATTTTTAAAGTAACACCATGGTGATTTTTTAATAATATATTTAGTGTGTGCTTCTTGTAAGATATTTAATGTTTTTTCCAATAAATGTTTGTTTTTCTTTTCAATTGATGTTGCATGGTGGCCTTATCTATTTAAGGTGTGGTATAGTGTTTCTAGAGTCCTTAACTGCTTCAGGACCACCAAACGTAGATAATGGCAGCATCCTGCAGCAGTTGTGCCCAAGATCATGGCAATGGCTGTTCACATACAAGCGATCTGGCAGCTATCCAGCACTGCCACCACCAGTTACCCTGAGCTCCGATCTCCTCTGTGCAGGCCCGGAACTGGCACAGTGGGTCTGTCGTCTTTGATCAGAAGAGAATCATCACACCCCCAGCTGCTGAACTCCCCTCTGATCACTGGACCTGGAAGTGATGTGTACTACATCACTTCCAGTGTTACTCTGTAATTTCTACGGCTCCTGAAGCCAGGAGAAGAAGCTAGTGAAGCAGATCACTGCTTCATCAGCTTCTTTGAGGTCCTTAGGTTACATTATAGTAGACCCTAAAAACCCTAATAGAGCCTTAAAATCTCCATAAAGAGGACCTGTCACATCCTGTTTGCTATTACATAGCTTTATTGCTAACAAGTGTAAACAAAATTCAGTCACATATAAAAAAAACTAAACAATGCAAACACATTGTTTTAAAGTCTCCTGCCCCTATGTACATGCAGATACAAATGCAAACACATGTTGGATGAACTGCCAGAACCTATAAACTTTAATGTTGTGTCCCCTTTCCTAAAAGAGACTAGTCCAGGAATACCGGAGACTAGTTCAGGCATACAGCATAGCTGCCTTGTCCAGGGCTGAAGGGCAAGTGAGCATGAGCCCCCCTTAATGTGCAGATACCAGTCCATATGCCCAGTGGGGCTATTCAAT